TCACAACAAACAGCCCACTGTTTGCAGTGAACATCTTTGAAGTGTCTTGTGTGTTTTATTTATTTTGTATTTTTTTAAGGAGGCGCACAATAGGAGGAGACCGTCCTGTTCACATCTAAGTGACCTTCAAAGCATGGGGGCGTTTTTATGAGTCTACTTCTCACAGTGGACCCAGGACAAAGTGCATTCTTCCCCGGGCTTGTTGTTGACATTTGGGAGACTGGAAACGGAGACACTCTGAGGTCGACTCCAGCCAAACAAATAACCACGAGGAGATAATATTAATGCTGTTTGTTCCAAAATGAGATATCAATCATGTGAACAAAAGTGAGACCCTCTCCCAGAAGATTATTGAGGGCGGCGTTGTGGACTTGAACCTTTAATTTAAATTCCCAGCAGCTGCCAGCGCCGCGTTTGAGAGATAGCAGCGATTTGGAGCAGAAAAAGAATAAAATACCTCTCATTCCTGGGCTATTATGAGCTTGGCCCCGATGCATGTGCCCAGTGCTCAGACTACAGTGTGTGTAACCGTAGCTGCAGGCGGATGTCAACGTTGCCGTATAGAAGGAAAAGCCACTAAATTGCCCCGGCCCCGGCTGTTGAAACCTCAACATGCAGCAATTCTCAGATAATGTCTCTGGCTGTGAGGCGTCAGGGGAAGAGCCCCCTCGTGAATATATGTGTGTTCTCCCTGTGTTTCACATGCCTCCCCCGTCTCCCCTTCTCTCACCCTCTCTCTCTGTCTCTCTGTCCAAATAATCCCTGGAAAACCACAATTTCCAAAGCCAAGATAGCACTTAGGCAGTGTGCACTCACTGTCCTGGCACTCACACCCTGCTGTCTGCTTCTTTTCATAACTTTTTCGAGTTGAAGAGGGAGACACTGGAAGTGGGGGACAGCACGGGGGTCGGTCTCACTGCTTGAACAGGACGTGGCTTCAGTGATGACGGTCAACGCAAAGGAGCTTCGTTTGTAAATACATAATACATAAATGAGATGGTTTGAAAAGAGTCATCAAAGGCATCACAGTACACATTTCTGTATAAATAATACAACAATAATCTAGAACATGGGTACCCAACCCCTGGTTGGTGGGCCAGTATTGGTCCCAGGGTCATTTTAGTACCAGGCCACAGTGAAATAATTCATAATTAGCATAATTTAAAGGGCATCTGATCATTTCTATTTCCATTTGTTATGTTTTTTAAAAAAAATGGTTCTCAGACATCAATACTAACAGATTGACGCCTAAAAAGTGTTTTATTTTGAAATTTAACTGCCCTTGGATAAACAACGCAGTCGCTAACGCTGTGCAAACTGGTTGGTTGCAGCTAACAAAAACAAACCAAAAAGGTTGGGGATCGCTGATCTAGAACAGGACAACTGGATTATTCTACCAGGTATTAGCTTTGGATAGTACAAATACGTCAGCCTTAACACATGCTAACAGTGGATACAGTACATATGTAGTGACCCACAGTGTAACTGACTGCTGTGGTCATAACATGCTCCAGGACACAACACGCTATAATGGATTACTGAAGCAGAACCACAACAAATTAGGTGAGTACAATACTTTCTGCCATAACACAGTTCTCATAGGCCGCTGGTACAGTACTACAGTACTATGTTGGATATCTAGTAACAAAGGTCTCTTTTTACTCACTGATAATCTTCCACTGAGAGGATCTGACTGGTGTATTTACTCACTTCAATTACAAACTACTAAACTGCCACCAAACCACCGTCAAATAATAAATAAATAAATGCAATAAAATGAATAAATTTAAATAAATAAACAGTTCATGATTTAAAAAAAGTTGACTATTCACAATGGCTTCCTTTTTCATAAGATATACATTATTTATATAAACATTATTTAGCCCGTGTTGACCTGACAGTTGGACAGTTACCCAAACCTGTCTTTGGGGGTCGCCATTGAGCTACGTTTTTAATTAAAAACAAAACTAGCTGTCGGCAACACAGATGTTATCGTGAGGAAGAACAGAATCAATGTAAGTCTTTAAAATAAAAGTACTGTACTAATAGTTACATAGTTATAAATGAAAATTCACGTTGTTTCAATTACTTAACGGAATACAAACTCGATGAAACAGAAAGTCCCATATCCGTGTTTCAGTTTGAGGGAAACTGTCGATCTTTACTGAAAGACTAGCTACGAATCAAATAAAACGATAAGTAATGGAAAAATTAATCATTAAATCCATCCGAGCAAATAACATCACGTCTTTGAAACAAATGTTGTCACTTAAAATATACGACTATGATTTTTTTTTTCGTTTAAAGTGACAATAACTCAGATTGAGAGTGCGGTTGGGGGTCGTTGTGGGGAGGGGGCGCTGTCAGATTCAGTCTTTTTATAGCCATTGTTGACAGGAACAGATGTATAGATTAAGATCAACCCTAATCCCCCCCGGAGTAGGACATTTTAACTTTAATGAGACGAAGGAAGACGTTGGTCACGTGACGCGAGTGTGTGTGTCTGTGATCTCTCGAGACTGTCGAGCGTTTTTCATTTTCGCGGGCAAGACAAGTGTCTTCCAGGCAACTCGGCGGCCTAGCTACACGCAACTTAATGGGCTTTTCATGGTCTCGCCGCGATGTCAGAGACATTGTTTGGGCTCCAATGGTGCAACACAAACACATGGGGCCTGTGTGTGTAGTGGGCCGAGTGGCACGCCGGAATGTTCCAGAAATGTAAGTGTGGTCGGTGGGATGAAGATGCCCCCTCTCACCCCCACCCCTCCCCCCCGACATACAGTGTCACACATACAAAAACATAACCACCCCAGGGGTTAGCAGGCAAGTGGAGGGGTATTTATGACACAACTTAAAGACACTGCTTTGTAATCAGGCGTAATTGACAGTGTTCAGAGCCCCCACAAGACACGAGAAGATGACAGGGAGAAATGACTCCCATGTTGCGGACGAGCAGTCCCGCTCTGAAGCACTTCATGTCGCCGGAGCATCTTGAACCTTTTTGAGAGCAGATGAAGAGAGAGGCCCATATTTTTTAACAGTGCCACGAGGTACATAAATGTCTCGACAGCGTATTCCTTTTAAGCAAACAGGATTTATGCTTTTGGTGTAGAAATACAGATTTTGACTTGTAAACATGTTACAGATGTCGAAGAGGAGGACGAGGGGGGAGATGGAGGAGCGCTGTGTCGCCAGAGGAGGTTCGAAAAACAACATCAAAGCCTGAAAATAAAAAAAAGAAACGAGGAGACCTGGTATGTAGAGGTTGACTGTGGGATTATTTTATTTTTTATATATATTTTTAAAACCCACCCCTTACAACGCGGTTTTTATCAACATGAAAGTCTTGGCGATACCTGACGGTTCTTACTTTTTACGTTTAATGGCTCCCACCATCTGTCTTTATTCAGAGGCGACTGCAGGGGGAGACAAAGCACCAGAGAAGATCTCACCTCCGGGTCAGAGCTCTGCTGTGGGTCAAGCACGTCCTTTCACACACACACGTACGTCACACCTCACACCCTTCTGTCACATAATCATTCATGTAGAAGTTCAAATTTAAAAAATATATATTTTTAAAGAAATAAGATAAATATGCCATGTTGTTGTTGGAGTCAAAAAGTTCCAAGACAATTGAAACAACTCTTAATTTGTGAAGTTACAAAATGTTATTTATAAATTATTTCTCCTCCATTGAAGTCTAAACACTCCAACAAGCAGAGTTTCCACCAGAGATTTCCTTTCTTTTTGGAATTCCAGGCGCCGTCCTTGACACCAGGTCACCACCTGGTTCTTTGCCTGGACAAGGAACTGGAATCAAGTTCCTTTAAAAATGTTCTTTCAGTTCAATTTTTGACAATTAAAAAAAACCAAAACAAACAAAAACATTTTTTTTATTGATTTCTATTTAATTTTGGTTAAAAAAAAGTTTCTGATTTATCTGATTTTAAGAGTTCACCGTTCAGGTGCAAATAACACAATAGAAATAAACACAAAATTACTTATATATATAAAAAAAGGAGAGACTCTGAACAGACGTGTCACAAAAATATTTCCTACAGTCGGACATCTTTGTAAATATAATTTCTGTCTTGGAACGTTTTTACTTGCTCTTGTTGTTTTATTACAAAGTCAAACATGTTTCAAACAGTAAAAATTGGTGAAATACATTACAATAAAATACAATAACTACATTAAACATCCATTACAGGGACCAGGAACTCAACGGGTATTTTAAAAGAATACAACTTTGGCCTGTCGGTGATGGAGAAGGAAAGTTGGAGCTCTTTGGTCCATTTGTGATCAAGGTACTGTAACCTATAAAGAAAAGTACTACAATGCACTAATACCTTCTGGTCAGTACTTAGTTCTACAATACTACAATGTACTAATACCTTCTGGTCAGTACTTAGTTCTTTACAAAGTAAGTTTTGAATTTTTGAAATGTTGAACCGTAAGTGGCGAGGTACTATAAATTATTTTGCAAACATTTTGTGCACTGTCGTCTTGAAACTACACTGCACAAACAGCAACTTGCTGTGCCGAATCCTCCACTAGGGGATGTCCAAAGAACAGGATAGAATAGTCAAAATGGCACCTTCCTGTTGGTTGTGGACAATAACTCCAGGCGTCTCTGACCAAATTTGGTAAAGACAAAGATTTTCCTGGTGTCGCTGACGAGGCACTTTGCCATAAGAGTGTATAACGAAATCAACGGCAGGTAAAAAAAAGAAAAAAAGTGTAATTTCTGAATATTTTGGCAAAGTTTGTTTACTTTTCTTGCATGTTGTAGTCCGTAAAAAAAGTAAAATGCTGCTTCGTGGAAACTGTCTGAAAAGACAGTGTCAAGGAAGTGTCTCCGACTGAACACACACTGATCCAAAACCTACGAAAAGCAACAAAGCGACGCCTCACTTATGTCTCTGCCACCAGCTTGTAAAACACACCAAAAAATGGTTAAATATCAAATATATAAAAAAATGTACATTTTAATTTTGAAAGTTTCAAAATGACGACGTGCAAAAATATTTTTCCCCTGTTGACGAACTGTAACTATTAAATTATCTGCCGTGAAGGAACAAAGAAATCAGAAAATGTTCTCATCAGTTAGGGTTAAGTTGAGGACCTTCATCCAGGAGTGAAAATGAACATGAAAAGTCAACGAACGGTGAAGAGTGTATAATTAATTATTTAGTTGATCAGATAATCATAGGTTTAGTTATTAATTCATGTTCAACATGTTCTGACAAGTTCACCGAGGACTGAAATCGTTGGGACTACTGTCTGACACAGATATTAGAAACGTCATCTGTTTATAGCCTGTCTCCTCAGGTATTGCCTTGTGTTTTTTAAATTTTTTTATTTAAATTTTTTTATTTTTTAATGAAAACTTTTGCACCATTTTGTGTCAGCGTGGATTTTTGGATTTTCGGTACAGAGTGAGTGATGCTGAGCTCCTCCAGGGGGCTCCTCACTCCTGTGATTCAGTGTGGGAGAGGCCACTCTGAACAGACAGCACTCCCTGCTCTCCTGTCGACTTCCACCATCTCACTTCCTACCTTCAAAATTTCAAATTTCAACCGTCGTGAAACGTGACATTTGATTTCTGTTTTTTTTTTCCTCCCCCCTCAGGTTTTCCTTTAGTTTCCTTCAGTGGACACGGCTGTAGAATATAATTGTGGTCACAGATGCTGCTGTTGTTTAAAGACTTTTCTGACCAGTCTGAAAGGTCATTTTTGTCTCTTCTGTTTCAGAGTCTTGTGAAGCTGTTTGAATGTCCGTCCTCACTGTGTGTGTTGAAATTCAAAGTGAGACGCCACAGATGAAAAGGGAAACGTTCAATGTTCACCTATGGATAAAAATCAAATTATAACAGGTAGGGAATTAACTTTTATTTTTTACAATGTTAATTATGTTTGTAGAACATTTGAGTTCATTTAAAATGAACATATTAAGTTTGGTTAGTGAAAATTAATTTTATGGCTAATAGTTAGCTGTTCTACTCACTTTTTGTATCTAAACTTTTAGCTTCATATTGGCTCATTTTAAAATATTTGCTACATTTCCATATACCTTTTTTTTTTTTGCTGTTCTCATGGTAATCTTTAGCCATAAGTCGATATTTATATATAATGTATCAACCAAATTTTACATTTTGAGTTAAACATTCAACACTCTGTTAAAAAAGTTTTTTTTTTCATTTTTCCAGCCTTTGGAAAATTTATATATTTTTGTAATTGTATTGTAGTGTTGTTTAACTTTAACCAAATTTATTAGGAAACACTAAGTCACTTTGCTAATGTTTGGTGACTTTTAGTGACTTTTATTCACATCTAGACTTGCTTAGAGATACTTTTGCTATTTCAACTTTTTTAGAACTCAACCCTTAGCTGTTCACCTGCAACTTACCTATTTCCAGTCAATGTCTTGTTATTAGTTACGGTATTAGTGCTTAAATATAATTATTTTCCCAAATAGCCAGTAGCTATACTTAGTTGTACTGCCATACGACAGTATAGACTGTTTTGGCTAATCTTAGCCTAATGACACATTTTTATGTCCAGTTTGTTTGGCTACCATCTATACCATAATAACTATAGTTTTACTTAAAAATCCAGTGACTCTGCAGTGTAACCCTAAATAACACAGGTGGTGTGTTATAATCCCTCTGGGTTATAATCCTTCAGGCATAGTTTTCTCACTTATATCACAATTTAGGTCAGAACTCAACAAAACACCACACCTGTATATTTGTACTATTACACAGAGGCTAACAGTATTATGTTGTAAACTTCAACTTGTTTACAGTCGACCGTTGTAGACAAGGGAGTGTTGCACAAAAGGTTCCTGTGTTTTTGTGTGATTGGATGAATGTCTTCTTCCATTTCTTCACTCATTTAATCTTCACTTATCGGCGAAGGGCGTTTTCTCACTCCGATCCACCACCGCTTGATTTGATCTGTTAGCAACTCGTAGGTGAAGAATTATCGTAGTGAGGTTTCGGGAATCAAACATGTGCTCCACTCCTGAAAGTTTCTGTTCCCTTCAAAACCCTCAGAGCCCATAATGGGTTGGGCATGGATGAAAAATACACTGGGAATGGCTCCCCATTCTGTTTCTCTCTTCCTCTCTTATGCTCTCAAACTCACACACACACTCACTCACTCACACACTCAAACACAGGCGGAGTGATATAACCGTGACCACTTAGCCGGTTTTAGCAGGCTGTAATAGCTCAAATCAACTGCTGAAAACTTTTCTGGGAGTCACATCGTGTTAACGCTGACCTCGCTGATTGAGTTTGCTCACAATCACACGGGTCAGGGCTGCGGTGAGGCCCATGGATCATTTAGTTTAATGGTCGTTTCCTGCCTGCTCACATGTACGTGCCACAGTGTAGGAAGCGGGGTGATGCGGTGCATTTGTTTTTGCCATATTATTTACAGGACATATCGCAGAGAGAGGCAGACGGAGGGGAGGGGGGGAGCTGTGTGCAGAAAG